AGTGGCGTTGTACTTCTTCAAACTTTGCTTCTCGGGTGCAACGCGCCATGGCGATTCGCGCAATGCGTTGCAAATCCGGCAACCGCATGTAAACAAAATTTATTGAGGTTAGTTGTAAGGTTTTTTCTCCGTTTTTCTCTCTAAAACAAAACAAGGTAAACAGAAAAAACTGAGGGGAAACTAATTTTGAAGTTCCGAAGAAACAGAAAGACGTCTGAGATGTTTTTTTTAAAATTAAAAAGAAGGATGATGGTGATTGAAATTAGCATATTTTCACCTTGCACGAGCTGCACGCACTTATAAAATGCACGTCATCTAGTCATGAAACACAATCTGCTGTCTTTTAGTTTTGCCACGGATGACATGGATGAGATTTTCCTTCGTGTTTTAGACAGTACTTAGTTGTTTTTGTTTTGGAATAACATCGCCATTGGCGAGTAGCAGAACGAAAATATAATTCAGTGATAGAGTCATGGAAGTAATAAAAGAACCCCTTTGAAAGAGATGTTTGTCTACTCCAACTAAACCTCCCGCAAAAAATAGCAACATTTGCCTCTCGGAGACAGCATACCAGCACAAAGGAACGAAGACGAAGTGCAAGAAAACAATTCAAGCCGCCATAATTCAGTGACAGCGGCAGTATCTAATGTACAAACCACATCATATCGCAAGCCCTGACCGAAGTCGAAAACAACACAGGCCACCCAAACGTAGTATGTGTCACTGAATGAATATATTGATATTCACATGGACAAATTAATGCGACGAGTCGTCGAAACCCCCATGAACTAAAATAATCCAAAAGTTACAATATAACAAAACAAAGCTAAGATACCTTCAACTGAACGTATCCTTGTCTTTCCTGGCCGGTTTAAGTGGCATTTCGTTGAGTTTCGCAATTGTAGGTACTATCCACTAAAGAAGAATTAAAGGCTTGCTACAAAACAAACGGACCATCTCCACGCGCCTTCACACGAAGCGCTATAAATTCGAGAATAATCGACGAATCCGCTCCAAATTGCCATCGGCTAATCTGCAGGTAACGTGTGCTCCTGCTTCTTGCTCGCTGGCTCCACAAAACCCATCGCAACTGCACAATAATTGCTCGCTCATCAACAACCACTGTTGACCTTTTCGCTTCCATATGACCGCAAACTACCAGGTTTAATACAATACGCGACGTGAATATTCAAGCTTAGCGACCGCGTTCGCGCAACAATGCAGCACTTGCTATGGGAGGGATGGTACTATTGCTTCTAGGTCAATCAATCGGGAAAATAATATTGAAGCCCTTGTAATTTTTAAAAAGATCCAGTTTGCCCTAGGATCACCGAACAGATACGAATTTTATAGCGGAGTCAAGAAAAATGAGCGGCAGTGGAAAAAGTGAACAAGAACATGTACCACATTTCGTCCATAAAAAGTGAAAACCAGGAAGTTTTCTGGACGTTTCACGTTGCAGTCATGCAAATCAACCGCAAGGAAATGTACAAGAAAGTGTGCTAAAATTAGACCTATTGTTGTTTTTCACAGTTCTGGTCAAGGGTATCCAACGTTTAATTTTTCACATTTCACCCACCGGGTTAGGCTATTTTTCGTAGAGAGTAAAAAGGAATCCTAAAATTCTCGGATTCAAAAATGTGATGAAAGAAGGAATCTGAAAAATTATCTCCTTCGTAATATGTTAAATTGCATCTAAAATTTTCGGGAAAATAACAACAGTGACAACAGCGACAATGGTGACGACAGTGACAACAGCGACAACAGTGAAAACAGGGACAACAGTGATAACAGTGACAACGGTGATAACAGTTAAAACAGCGACAACAGTGACAAAGGTGTAAACAGTAGGGACTTTAAGATCCAACGACGCTACGGCAACGGGAACGTCGCTTAAAAAGTGAATTTGCGTTCTTTTAGTCTTTACAGCGATTATTCCTGCCCACTTACTTTGTCAAATGTAGGCGAACCCTCCTAAGGCTGAATGTCAAGTGACCATATTCAAGCTCAGAAATAGAAATAAAATTTCTTCGTTGCTTATTTATGTCCTCCTTAAAACGCGAAATTAGGCATTTTCTCGTCGACGTCGTGCAAAAACAGGAAAGAAATATACAAAAAAAGCGTCATGCACGTGCAAAGTTGTTGTTTTGCTTATTAAACCTTTTGTTTTTTTGACGTTCTCGTTGCCTTCCGCGTCGTTGGATCTTAAAGTCCCTAGTGACGACGGCGACGACGGTGACAATAGCGACAACAGTGACAACATTGACAGCGGTGACAATAGTGAGAACAGTGACAACGGTGACAACAGTGACAATGGTGACAACAGCGACAACAGTGACAACAGTGACAACGGTGACAAGAGCAAAAACAGTGACATCGGTGAACAGTGACAAGAGTGACAACAGTGACAACGGTGACAACAGTGACAACAGTGACAACGTTGACAACGGTGACAATAGTGACAACAGCGACAACAGTGACAGCAGTGACAACAGTGACAACAGTGAAAGCGGTGACAACAGTGACAACAGTGACAACGTTGACAACGGTGACAATAGTGACAACAGCGACAACGGTGACAACAGCGACGACAGTGACAACAGTGAAAGCGGTGACAACAGTGACAACGGTGACAACGGTGACAACTGTAAGAACAGCGAGAACTGTGACAACAGCGACAGTGACAGCAGTGACAACAGTGACAACAGTGACAACAGTGACAACAATGACAACGCTGACAACGGTGACAACAGTAAGGACAGAGAAAACAGTGACAACAGCGACAACAGTGAGAACAGTGACAACGGTGACAACAGTAAGAACAGCGACAAGTGACAACAGCGACAACAGTGAGAACAGTGACAACGGTGACAACAGTGACAATGGTGACAAAAGCGAAAACGGTAAAAACAGTAAAAACATCGACAACAGTGACAACAGTGACGACAGCGACAACGGTGACAACAGCGACGACAGTGACAACAGTGAAAGCGGTGACAACAGTGACAACGGTGACAACGGTGACAACTGTAAGAACAGCGAGAACTGTGACAACAGCGACAAAGGTGATAACAGTGACAACGGTGTCAACAGTGACAACAGTGCCGACAGCGACAACGGTGACAACAGCGACAACAGTGACAACGGTGACAAACCAGAGTACTAATTGCCCTTTAAAACTAGAAATCATATTAAAGCTTGCTCACCTGTTCCTCTCGAACAGACAACGAACAGCTGCTCAGTGAATCATCCAATTTCAGACCACGAGTTGCAAATATAAGACAATGACGTCACTACCAAAATATGGGGTCTTACTCACACACAAATATGGTCAAAACTGCAAATTTTAGAGGGTTACGCAGAATTTGAGAGTTTTTGCCCACATTGCACGGCGCTATAATTCTGCCGCCGAGGCAACCTCGCTTCTTAGCTCGGTTGCCTCGTTGGCAATTACCGCATGTTTTGATACTGTTTTGCATAGGCCATTTGTACTTTGACAACATTTTACTAGTACGACCAGAATCCTTATTAGGCCTTTTACTATATACTGTGAAACTCACAATACCGTGAACACCAGAAATATTTATGAAATGTTATTGTTTTGCGAGAAATTAGCCAATAAGGAGCGAGATAACTAAACCGCAAACAGCAACGGTAATTAGTTTGTGGTTATAAGGTTTGCTCGCGTATCGTGAACTTAATTGTAATTGGCCAGTACACAATCAACATTCCTGAAATTTTTCAGGTGTTCACGGTTTTCTGAGTTTGACAGTAAACCTCAATGTCATTACAAAATTTAAATATGAAAGGGAAAACGAAAAGGATTCTGGTCGTAGTAGTAAAACGACGCCATCGTGCAAATGACCTGCTTCACAAATACAGAAATAAACTTCGCTTACGTCCATCAGTCTAGTTTGTCCGTCCTTCCCTTCGTCCTTCCATCCGTGCAATCCAGCCGTTTATCCAATCCATCTATCCAGTCAGTCTGTCCGTTCTTCCGTCTAGTCTGTCCGTCAAGTCTATCCGCCCCTCCGTCCGTCCACCCCCTGCGTCCGTACTGTCCGTCTGTCAAGTCCAATCTATCCGGTCCTTCCCGTCCGTCCGTCCATCTAGTATCTAGTCCATCCAGTCCATTTGTACACTCTGCCCAGTCCGTCTGTCCGTTCGTCCGTGCGCACGTCCGTCCGACCTGTGCGTTCGTTTGTTTAGTTTGTCCGTCTGTCCATCCAATTCATCCGTCCATCTAATCAATCCGTCTGTCTGTCCGTTTGACCAATCCATCCGTCCAGTCCGTCCACCCGTCCGTCTAATCCGTCCGTTCGTCTGTCTAATTTGTCTGTCCGGAGGACTTAAACAAATCAGAAACGGAGACATTTTTTAAATGAATTATATATTTATTAACTTACAAAAAAACAATTGGAGTTATCATACTTTGTAAATTTAGGATTTAGATAAGCTACTAGTTTCTCTGCAGACCTAAAGCTACGGTCAAACGGACAACAAAAACGTGCGACTTCCTTTTCAACATTGCTGCAAAACAACTTGAGAAGCTATGTTGCGCGTTTTACCACCTACGTTCAAACCTGTTTGTTTTGCAACAAATCAGGTTGTTGCAAATTGCAAAAATACTGACTTATGATTGGATAAAATTACGCGGAAGTCGCGCTATAGATGTAAGTTACGTCACTTGTTTCAAAACAAGCTTTCGTTGGGCCTGTTAAACGCACAAAATGCACAGATTTTGTTGCAAAAAGTAGTACTCATTACTTTCTGCAACAACATTTTGCAACCTGCAACAACCTGACGTTTGATTCGTGGGTGGTAAAACGCGCAACATCACTACTTAACTCGTTTTTCAGCAATGTCACAAAACAAGTTGCACATTTTACCATACCTTAACAGAAATGCCGTTCACACGATTTACAGTCTATATACGACACAAAGCAAAAACAAAGCAAAAAACAAAACATTGGAAAAAGAACCAAAAACAATAGGTTGAACGGTGTCTTGTGTTGCCTTTATGGCTAAGCCTCTTTGGTGTCACCAAACTGCAGTTCACCTCTAACAAGAAACCAAAAACAATATAAAATGAAACACCATTTTAAAAATTTTCCACCATGGAAAGTTCTTGTGATGGTCTGACTTTGTGTGGTGAAAAATGTTTGCTTTTAACGACCGGATTAATTCTAGCCGTACTAGGCTCTAAAACTGTGTTCACAGTATAACGTTTGGACCGCCACGATAATCATACAGCATTGGGCTTCTGTTGACACAAAAGAACGGTTGTGGCGGCGCGATTTCTGTGACGCAACGAGAGTGGAGCGTCACATATCGGATAGGTTTTGTGCCATATTTTAGTGCAGTTTGAACACGTATTCGGTTCGTCGCGGAAGTAAGTTCGCTTGCGTTTGACAAAGTGAATGAGTTGGATAATCGCGATAGAGATTAAAAGAGCACATATTCACTTTTTAAGCCACGTTTTCGTGGTCTTCGCTGTCGTGCTATCTTAAACTCCCCATTGGATATATTCGTGTGGACGACTTTAGGGCTGCCCGCCCTGGGCCGCTTCTGTCCATACTATACCAGATATATAGCTTCCCTGGGGGATAGCTTTTCGTGGCGCCACGAAAGGCTATCCGGTATAGTTCAACCCTTTCACTGCCAAATTTAACCAAAAGCAAATTTCGACCAAATTTCGAAATTTCACGTTCTGAAATTTTGAAAAACAAATAGCATCGTGTGAAAGTACAGGCAAAGAGCTTTCATTTGAATGGTCACATCATAGGATTTCATCCACAGACTCAAAAGTTAGAGTCCCCTTAAAATCTCCATCAAGCATTCTCGCAGTGAAAGGGTTAAAACATAGCCTAAGATGCTAGGGACGTCGTGAAAACAAGGTGCACGTGACCTGCGATTTTTTTTTTCGCATCTGCATTTACGATCTCTGCACATTACCATTTTTGAGCCTGGAACAGGCTAGATCAAGGGCCTGTTTACATGGAGGTAGGGGACCCCAGGTAGGTGAGGTAACCTGCCTGTCCATATAATCTCTCGTTTTAAGTTGATCACGTGTACATGATAGGTGGGGTGACCCGCCTCATGTTACCTCACCTATCTAGGGTCCCCCACCTCCATGTAAACAGGCCCTTATCCATGTAAACAGGCCCTTATGTTGGGTAATAAGCTTGTGAATTTTAATGCCCATGGGTTTTGATCCAATTATAATCAAAGAAGAGAAATATGTTAAAACTGACATATCATCATATTTACCCATCATACAAAAGATTTTCTGCTCCTTCTAGGGGTTCCGTGCCAGATCTGCAAATCAAGAATACGTAACATGTAATTAAATAAAACAACAAGCGCTTTGTATAGGTAATAGCATGATTTGTAGTTATAATTGGCATAAATACCACGAGTGATATTTCAAAATTGTTATACGTAATTCCACGAACCGTCAGGCGAGTGAAATGTGCGACAATTTTGAAATATCACGAGTGGTATTTCTGCCAAATATCATGTACAAATCGCGCCATTATTTGTTTATACTACTACCCGCAAAAGGTTTGTAATTTTCACATGTAGGTATTTCAAATTAAGCAGAAATACCACTACTCTAAGCCAATCAAATTACAGAAACTTCTCATGTAGTAGAATGAAAAAAATAATGGTACATGAAACGGCAATGGGTTGCCCCTCTGGGTGGAGCCCCCTTACCCCCGTATAAAACATTGCCGGGCCGGGAAAGCTAACTTAAGTATATTCATTTTAAGATTACTTACTTCTGGTATGTCACTCGCTGAATCTCCAAGTTTTTATTTGATCTCTTTCTGTCATAGAATAAGCAAAAAAAAAAAAAACGATGGCATTGTCATGGCTGCATATACAGCCCGGGGATGGGGGAAGGGCGGGGTCTCAGGATTTCAAGTGACAAGGATGATCGAATGGGGGCAAAAATCAAAACCCCCCAAAATCCCTAGGGCTTCAAACAAAATGCAGAAAAATACCTGGACCAAAATTTCACCCCTCAGAAATCCCATCCTGAATTTTCGAGCCAAATAATCTATTGGCGGAACTACGCGGCCGGGATACGTGGGAACTATCACCAATCTTCAGATTGTTTTGAATACCCGCAAAAAATACCTGCCAAAATTTTCCAACCAAAAAATATCCCGAAATCGAAAATGTCAAACCCCAAAAAACCTTCGATCATCCCTGTCGCTTGAAATCCGGAGTACCCTCCCCCCCGGGACAGACAGCCTTCTAATACTCGATGGGTTTTAATTTCACTAAGTTCCTATTTGCTTCCGTGTTATAACAAATTGAACGAAAAAGGTTCAAACGAAAGCCAAAATTCCAACTGTTTTTCTAGAAAGCGAAAGGAAAAAAGTAGCACAAAAATTTCCTGTTTTCGCCTTTACACTATCTAGAGAGTGTTAGCGTTGACAACGAGTGCGATTTCGACAATCTTTATTGATTTGAAGTCGATTTCTGCGCCTGTCATGTAAGCGAATACTTCGAAATCAAATCGAAAATGTTGCTCCTGATTCTTTAAAAATCTCTCTCTCGCCACCTCAACTTTTCGATGAAAACTCGCCGTAAAAACGACTTGAGCATGTGCAGCTGCGAAGAACCGATGCGCTCAATCGGCAAACTCGCTGACAACGCTTACATTCTCTATTTATCTTCAGCGCACCGCCATTTTGAATTTTTTGACGTTTTCCTCCTGCTTTCGCTCCTTACGAAAGAAAGTCGATTCCTCTTCAGTCTTAAATTTTCAGTTTCCATTTAACGACATCTGTTGTGGGTTGTCTCAAAAAAAGTGTAATGGCGTTTCTAGTGAGGCGCGATCCTACCTTTTCCAGTAGAAGAATCCTACCAATAATATAAGGGCGACCAAAACGAACACAACCACTGGCGCGACGATCGCCGAAACCTTGGAATCTGCAAAGTGTTCACAAAACACTCTTCAGGACGCTTATTATTTTATTTAAATGAAGTCTAACCTAGACCACGGTTTAGGAATTCTTTGGACCTCCAGATCCCTTCCTTAGTGAGTGATTTTAAGAGGACAAATGCTTTTCTAGTCTACGTCAATGCTATCATGAAAACTGTTCACGATAAATGGCGTTTACGTAAAAGCGTTCGGCAAACTGAAAATGGCTCAGAACGCGGTTGTAAATAACTGTGGCTGGACTCCGTTTAAATAACTGGCCGAAACAATCTACTAAAGGCAATGCTTGTACAATTTTTTTTGTGGGGGGAGAATAAGGTGCATCATGGGAAATGTAGAAGTGGCGTATTGGTTTAACAAATTTAAATGAGAAGGCAAAAAAAAAGAATACTGATAGTTGTTGTCCAATGCCTTCATCATGAAAATAGCCTATTAGTATAGGTAATAGCATGATTTGTTGTTATATTTGGCACAAATACCACGAGCGATATTTCGAAATTGTTAGACATAATTTCACGAGCAGTTAGGCGAGTGAAATTTGAGACAATTTTGAAATATCACAAGTGGTATTTATGCCAAATATCACGTACAAATCATGCTATTATTTGTTTATACTACTACCAGCAAAAGGTTTGTAATTTTGACATGTAGGTATTTCATATTAAGCTGAAATACCACTGTTGCAGAAATTTTGCATGTAGTAGTATATATAGAGTAACGATGACGTTAATTATAATAATAATGATATATGGAAATAAATCGCTGCAAGCTTTTGAAAACTACTGAGGTCCTTAATTTTCGCGCTAAGAAAAAGTAGCAATGCAAAGCTATACTTCAAAAGAACTCAACGAACTGAAATCCGACTCGGGACAAAAGAGGAACAATAGTGGAACAGTGATAGTAGAAATGAGTGGTGCAATGGTGTTGGTGAAAAAGTGGAACACTGATGGTGGAACACTGTAATGGAACAGTAGAACAGTAATAGTGGAACAGTGTGGTGCTACAATGGAACAGTGGGACAGAGATGGTGGACCAGTGTGGTGGTACAGTGGAACATTGTTGATAAAACAAAGAAGTGGAACAGTGGAGAAGTGATGGTGGAACAGTGTTAGTGGAACAGTAATGGTGGAACAGTGTGGTGAAACAATGGAATAGTGTGGTGGTACGGTGGAACAGTGTTAATAGAACAATGGAAAATTAATGGTGGAACAGTGATGGTGGCAAAGCGGAAATATGTTGCTGGAAGAGTGTTGCTAGAACAGTGGAACAGTGTTGGTGGAAGAGCGTGGTGGAACAGTGGAACAGTGATTGAGGAACAATGTGGTGGAACAGTGGAACAGTGTTGGTGGAACACTCATAGTGGAACAGTGAAACAGCGATGGTGGAACAGTGTAATAGTGATGGTGGAACAGTGATAGTGGAACACTGTTGTGGAAAAGTGGAACAGTGTTGGTTGAACAGTGAGACAGTGATGGTGGAACCGTGAAACAGTGATAGTGGAACAGTCTGGCGGAAAAGTGGAACAGTGTGGGTGGAACAGCGATGGTGGAACAGTGATGGTGGAATAATGTGGTAGAAAAGAAGAACAGTGTTGGTTGAACAATGTTGTGGAACAGTGATGGTGGAACAGTGATGGTGGAACAGTGTGGTAGAACACTGAGGTGGAACAGTGGAATAGTGTTAGCGGAACAGCGATGGTGGAGTAGTTATGGTGGAACAGTGGAACAGTATTGGTGGAACAGTGATGGTGGAAGAGTGTGGTGATAGAATGGAACAGTGATGGTTGAACATTGATGGTGGAACATTGATGGTGGAACAGTGATGGTGAATGGGTGATTGGCCTTTGGAAAAGGCCAATTTTGCTGTTGGGTTAAATCCACGTTTCTATTAGCTAGAATTATCTAGAAAGTCTTGAAAGGCTTCTTTTCTATCTAGATCGTCAGCAAACACTTTTTCTCGATCTCCTTTTGATAAACACAAAAGATGAAAAAAGTTCAACTTTTTGACCAAAACCATGGAAAAAATGAAAAATGCCAATTTGGCGGCTTTTTTAAACCGATGTTTTCATAGTCCAGAAAGGCTTGTTTTGTATATAAAACGTCAAAAATCGTTCTTTTAAGATCTATTACCACGCTCTTTTAAATGGGGTTACAGGGGGTAACATGGGGTTACAGGGGGTTACAAGGGGTTTCAGGAGGTTACAAGGGATTACAATTTTAACAGGGGATTACAACCGGTTACAGAAAGACTTTTTTGGAACTAGAACGTTCCAAGATACTTTTTCTTGATCTATTTTGCACAAAAATAAAAGTTGATGAAATCTCAAAGTTTTGACGAAAACGATGGACCAACCGCTTTGGAAAAATGCCAATTTTGCTGTTTTTTAAACCTATGTTTTCATAGTCTAGAATGGCTTTTTTTCTATATAAAACGCCAAAATCGTTCTTTCACGATCTATTATCACGATCTATTACATAGTGAAACAGGTGGCTACAGAGGGTTACAAGGGGTTACAGGGGATTATAAAAAGATGTTCTAATATTCTTGAAACGCTTCTAGAACACCAGCAAACACTCTTTCTCGATTTATTTTTGATAAACACAAGTGATGAAAAAAATTCACTTTTTTGACCAAAATCATAGTCTAACCCCTTTGGAAAAATGCGAATTTTGCTGTTTTCTTAAATCCATGTTTCCATTGTCTAGAAAGGCTTGTCTTTAACGAAAATGTAACCAAATAGTTTTTCTCGGAGTACTTTGTATAAAACTAAAAATTGGCAAAATCTCAAATCTTTGACCAAAACCATGGACTTCCCCTTTGGAAAAATGCCAATTTTGCAGTTTTTTGTAACCCTCTGTATCCCGTTGTAACCTCTGTAATCTCTTCTAAGCCCCCTGAACCCCTTGTAACCCCAGCACCCCGTGTAACGGATTCGGTAACCCTCTAAACCCCTTCAAGCCCATGTGATCACATTCACCTACAGACAAAACAACTACATGCAGCTTGCAATTCAGCATTCAGGCACTTTCGAGAAAACTATAGAAAACCAGCTCGCGATCGCTATTAAAAAGTCATTTAGCCGCAATGCAAAGCTATGCTTCAAAAGAACTCAACGAACCAAACCAAACTACTTGAAGACATCAAAAACTCAAAGAGAAGAGCAAAAACCACAGAACATCAGTCATCAGGTATTAAAATTAAAAACACACCGGCTTTATATTTAACGACAAACAACGTTTCCTAAGTTCAATTAAAACAAAGAATCCTCCCGTACTGTAATCCATTCCCTTTGGTTAGAAAGAAAAGAAACAGAGCAAGCGGATTTTTAATAAGGGAGCCGTAAAAAGTCCTGACAACAAAGCCAAACAAAGAGTATTTTCACTGAAGTGTTTCTTAATCCGGTTTTTGCTACCTTCTCTCCGTTGCGACGCAGATCTTCCTAGTTTCCCTTCCGTTATTTCGTTTCCAGTGGAACTAATTTTTTCAGTCGATGTTGTCTTTGTAGTTTTTTCCGTTGGCGGTGCAGTCGTAGTTGAAAAAGGAACTACATAAAAACAAAGTATAAAAAATTCCCTTAGGGGCTTGTTGAATACATCATCACCATCATCATCATCATCATAATAAATAATAATAATAATAATAATAATACGGTAAGTTGAGTCTGCCAGATATTTTTGGCAGCGCACAGTTGTCAGCCATCGTTGGTACTGCCCATATCTTGCGGAAAGTGTTATGTCTCTAAGCTGCGTGCGGGATTGCCCCTGAACTGGAGAGGATCATACCATAATAATAATAATTACTTCATTTAACCTTAGCAGTATTTATAGCACTAATGCTAGTGGGGCCGAGCAAATGCCTGAGACAAAATAATTCAAATCACGATGGCTATTACAAGCGTGGGCGAGGATTTGAAACTGGGACTAACCTGAACAATTCCGTCCCATGGCGGGACTTGAACTCGGGGCGTCCGAGTTACAAGTCCAGCGCTCTAACCGCTCGGCCACGCTGTCTCCTCTAATCGACTCCTCGACTCTGAGAGTAGAGCCAGAACTGACGTTATTGACCTAGCTGCAATAAGTGGATTCATCGTGACGTCACTGTTTACATTTTTGCTCATTAGCATATCAGTTAACCCATTGACGATGTAACCGCTCAAAAATTAAAAGAGCCGGTGATTTTATGCAGTTTGTGCAAGTTTCAGCTCTTTGCAATCAGTAACAATTAAAAACCTCAAATTTACTGAGTGGCGAAACGTTAATGAGCTCATACATTCTTTGTAAATTTTGAGGGTTCTTCAAAGAGAATTTCTCCTAAACTATTTGGTATTTCGGGCTCAAATTTTCAACGATCCCGAGGGTTATTTCGAGCATTCTAACTTGCGCGCATACTTTCAATCCCGAATCTTGCCCGATTTTGCTTTAAAATCCTGAATCCCGAGCTTCAAATACGGGAAATCCCGGATCCCGATAAACCTATTGGGGACCCTCAAGATTGACTAGTTCAGAAGTTTAGGCTGCGGTGACTTCAAAGTTTTGACGTGATTCAGGCAGAGTCTCTCTTCTTCTCTTTACACTGGAAGGCAAAAGAATACTCTGCTAGCAGCATGACTCGAAAATATTTTGCATGGGAATTTTCTCCTTACTAACCTGGACATCCATATATCTCCAGTCTCATTGATATCTGATTGTGCCACTCCACTGGTAAGATACGGATTAGACGTGCTGTGATTGGTGGGGCTAACACGTTATACACCACGGTATCGCTGTCGTGATTTGCGTAAAATACCTATAGCACAAAGATGAAAGAGAACAGTTGCGTTATTCCTGTTTAGCAGACATTTTAAGGGATTCAGGGTAAGGTTCAAAAGAGCCTTCGAAAAAGGGGGCAGATAATATAATTATTGTCCCACAAGTATAAACCTCCCTTCGACTTCTTTAGCGAAGAAATACAAAATAATTGCGTTTCGGGTAGGAGGAAAAGCAAACTAATGATTTACCTGCACCCGAACCACATAGAACGATATCGCTCAAGATGCCATTTAACCCTTTAAGCCATAAAATCAAAATTTGAATTCTCATTTGTTGTCCCTATTCATTTCCTAAAGACGTAGTGGGGAGGAGTTGATAAAATATCAAGCAAATTCCTCTTGTGTGATCATGTCCGTAATTCTAATGACCACTCTGTTTTACAAAGCATTGATATTACAAGGAGAAATTTGATGCTGATCAATCTTAGGGCGTAAAGGGTTAAATTACTTGAAGATTTTTCCCCATATGACTCTTTCGCCCAAAGGGTCATTGCCTTCCCTGCAAGAACTGTGGTGATCATGTGACCTCTCCGCTCCAGCTTATAGTAGTTTATCAAAGGCCCAAGGGTGGGACATGCTTTTCTTAATACCGGTAGGTTAAATAGGTACTCTAGTCTAGTATAGGAAATAGAAATCAGAGGGATTTAGTTTGGTATCATTTATAGAAAATAGAGAGGAAAAGTCTGACGTCACGTTATCTTGGTTGCAAAATTTTTGGATCACAACAATAGCAAGCTTATATAAGCCACGACGACAGCGACGCCAAAGAGAACAGAAAAACAGCAATAGATTTATATTAGCAGAACAACTTCTTTGCACGTGCATCAGGCTTTTTTGTACATTTCTCAGCCGTCGTTGCACAGTTGTTCCATGAAACGTCCTCATTTCACGCGCCCGTTCTATGGATAACCATCTCCTTCTTGCATAGTACTGTCAACTCCCTTTACAGCGGACGCTGCAGGGACTTCGAGTTAGTGTCCAAATTACTGAGAGTCCGTAATAGCGAGAGTTTATTCAAGTCAAACGTCTGTAATTTGTTTTGCCGGGGATTTAGCTGCTGTCCATATTATCGGGGTGTCCGCAAAGCGAGAGATGGCTGTACTTAGAATTGACCGACCTAGCTGGATAGTTTAGATTAAAAGTGAAATTCAAAAGACGACGGTAATGGCGTAGCCGCTCAGTTCTGACAAATAAAAAACACGCAAACTGTAGCAGGCAAGGTTTTCAAGGCCCCAGCAGCACTCCCGGACGGAGTATTCCCCGCGCTTGCAATACTTTTTTACGATTTCAGAGCAAGTAGAAAAAAAAGCACCATGTAATCAAACAAACATACTTTTGCTGAACTGTTGACTGACTTCTTGACAAAAGTAAAGGTTATTCCAAGGTCTTCTCTGTACTGCAGTCGGTACTTGACCACCCACTCATCATGTGCATTCTTTCCTTGCGTCGCTACACGAGTGACTCTGGTGGAACCACCAAGATCCACCTGAATCCATTGGCCAAAGTCGTTGTAAAGGGCAGACCAACCTCCTTGTATGGGGCCATCTTCCTTCAACTGTAATCTGGCCAGTGCTGCCCTATTGTTGTCATCCAGCTGTGAAGACGCGGTAATATGAGCATCTGGGATTTCATCATTTTCCATGCCAAGGGCACTGACGCATCCTAGGATGATTTAAAAATGCCAAGAACTGAAGACTTCGAAAACTTATATATCTGAATATAATTCGTAGAGCAATTTCAATGAACTTAGTCGGATTTTCAAAGTTTCAATTTTCGGGCAGTTTGGCTGTTAAATCGCAGTTGTCCTTCCCGTAGGTTGGTATTAAACAAACTGGCTTAAAAAAAACTTACGTTTGTGGTTTTGTAGCATACGGAGTAAGCATTATTCAAAATAATTCCCTTAAAGCAGTCATTATACTCCCTCCTCCCTTTCTCACAATCCCATCCAGATTGACATTTCATTAAACGGCAAGTAACAAACTGAATATGCAATTGACAAAAGATATGGAAAAAATACAGAGCTTAATCGATTTTTATAGGACACACTAGAGGGTAATCATCTCCCTAAGACTGCATTCCCGGCACTACCCTCTTTTCTTGGTGTTTTTATCTGTTAGACCTTTTTCGTTTGCAAACTATTGAGCATTGTTTCGTTATTTCCCCAATTTCTCCGAATTCCCGTCCATTTAGAAGTACCACTCCGGTCTTTACTTGTCCCGCCTCCAACTACCCCTCCTGACCCAAATTTTCCTGGGATCTAAACCTTATGTCGTCCCCCACACCGACGATCCAATCGTCCCTAAACAGCAGCAAAAACACTGTAGAGAAATATCATATGCCAGTGTGGAAACGAGAGCTCCGCGTTTGTCAGTACTATTCCATAAAGCCCATCCATATGACTTCGATATGACTATTAAGCCCATCCATATGACTTCATGTTAATGTTCCCAAACAAAAAAACGGCGAACATGGGACAAGTGACAACAGCGACAACAGGGACAACAGTGACAACAGCGACCACAGCTACAAAAACGACAACAGTAAAAACAGTGACAAAAGCGACAACAGTGACTACAGCCACAACAGCGACAACAGTGACAACAGTAAACTGAGCGACAACAATGAAAACAGAGAAAACAGTGACAACAGCGACAACAACAACAACAACAGTGATAAAAGTGAAAACAGCGACAGCAGTGACAAAACAGACAAAAGCCGGAACAGTTCTAAAAGTGACAACAGCGACAACAGTGACAACAGCGACAACAGTGAATACAGCCACAACAGCGACAACAGTGACAACAGTAACAACAGCGAAAACAATGACAACCGTGACAACAACAACAAAAACAACAGTGATAACAGTGACAAAAAGCGACAGCGGTCAAAACAGCTACAACAATGACAACGCGAAAATGGTGACGACAGCGACAAAGGTGACAACAACGACAACAGTGACAACAGTGACAACAGCGACAAAAGTGACAACAGTGAAAACGGTGACAACAGCGACAACGGTGAAAACAACGACAACAGTGAAAAAAGTAACAACAGCGACAACAACAACAACAGTGATAACAGTGGCGACAACAGTAAAAAGAGCGACAGTCACAACAGCAACAACAGTGACAACAGGTACAACGGTGACAACAGCGAGAACAGTGATAACAGTGACAATGGTGACAGCAACGACAACAGTGACAACAGTGAAAACAGACACAACAGCGAAAACGGTGACAACAGCGACAGAGACAACGGTGAGAACAACGACAACAGCGACAACAGTGACAACAGCGACAACGGTGACAACAGCGACAACACTGACAACAGTGACAACAGCGACAACGGTAACAACAGCGACAACGGTGACAACAGTGACAACGGTGACAACAGTGACAACCGCGACAACAGCGGCAACAGTGACAACAGTGACAACAGTGAGAACAGTGAGAACAGCGACAACAGCGACAACAGTGACAAAAGCGACAACAGTGACAACAGTAACAACGGTGACAACAGCGAGAACAGTAACAACAGTGACAACAGCGACGACAGTAACAACAGCCACAACAGTGACAACAGCGACAACGGTTACAACAGCGACAACAGTGACAACAGCGACAACAGCGACAACAGCGACAACAGCGACAACAGTGACAACAGTGACAACAGCGACAACAGTGACAACAGCGACAACAGTAACAACAGAGACAACAGTGACAAGAGTGACAACGGTGACAACAGCGACTACAGCAACAACAGTGAGAACGGTGACAACAGTGAAAACAGACACAACAGCGACAACGGTGACAACAGCGACAACAGACACAACGGTGACAACGGTGATAACAGTGACAACAGCAACAACAGTGACAACAGTGACTACAGTGACAACAGAGACTACAGGGGGAGCCGTTGGAACAGTGATAACAGTGAGAACGGCGACAACACTGACAACAGCAACAACAGTGACAAAAGCAACAACAGTGTAGACAGCAACAGCAGTGACAAAAAGGACAAGAGCGAAATAGCAATAACATCGACTATAGTGACAACAGCGACAATGTGAGAACAGCGATAACAATGAGAACAGTGACAAGAATGAGAACGGCGACAACAGTTACAACAGCGACAACAGTACAGTCACAACAGCGAGAACAGCGACAACAGTGACAACAGCAAAAACAGTAGGGAGTTTAAGATACGGAGACTACGGACTACGAACAACGGCTGGATGAGCGTTGTCCTTTGTTTGTAGCACTGGGTTGAGTCGCGTGCAAATATAGAACGTTAAGATTGCACTTCAGACAGTAGACTACGAGAGAAGAGGCGGAGAGGGAAACAACACGCAAAGATTTTCTTGTTTTCATCACAGTTCACAAAAATGCAAGTCAGTTTTGCATGTGATCTTATCTTTAGAACAATGAACAAATTCTTCCATACTTGAAAGAAGCAATTACGTCGGGTGAAATTGGTGAACAAAGTTTTGGTTACACAGTTTTTATTTTTTTTCGCCCATGAATACTTATGTCAAATATTAAAGAAATAGACAGAAATAGTCACAGCTCATTTATTAGATTTAGAAGATGGACTTCACCGACTACTGTTTGAAGTACTAGTTTGAAGTATTGAAATGCCGAGTTTCGATTGTCTCGAAGATGTTTACATCATTTTCCTTCAGCAAAAGCGATACAAAAACTCGCATAAACAAAGGTTACACAAGTAGAAAGACACCCTGATCAGTTCGAACAAACATTGAAACTTTTCAAGTGCGAAGAGAAAGTAAATTACCTGCATGATTTCTCTTCTCCTCGGCCGTCAATCTGAATTCTAAGCTTAGCTAGATAAAAATGTACTCACTTAAAGCAGGTGAATTGAAAACTTTTTTACGAAAAGACGAGATTCTTGAATAACCGAGACGGCAAAATACGACCAAAATGTTCTCCGTAGTCCCGACTATGCGAAACAGCTCAACAACTCACCGTAGCCGTAGGAATTCGTGGGAAAAATGAACAGTCACGTGGTTTTGATCATGCGCAGTAGCATGTTTAACCGTAGCCGTAGTCCGTAGTCGCCGTATCTTAAACTCCCTAGTGACAACAGCGACGACAGCGACAACAGTGACAACAGCAACAACAACAACAACAACAGTGATAACAGTGACAACTGCGACAGCAGCGACAACAGGGACAAAAAGGGGAACAGTTCCAACAGCGACAATAGCGGCACCAGAGATAACCGTGGTAACAGCGACATTAGTGAGAACTGTGACAACAGGGACAACAGTGAAATAACGAAAATAGTGACGACAGTGACAGTAGGGACAATAGAGACAACAGCAACAGCAACAATGAAAGTTACAACAGTGACAGTAGCGACAACAGTGAGAAGAGAGACAACAGCGACAACGGTGACAACGGGAACAACAGTGACTATAGCAACAACATGGGTTAACAGCGACAACAGCAACAACAGTGAAAACAGCGACAATAGTGACAACACTGACAACAGTGACAACAATGACGACAGCGACAATTAATGGTGACAAGAGCTAGAATATCGACAGCAGGAACAACAGTGATATCGACCTTCTTTTCCTTCTTAAATCTTGTATTGCATTTGTTTTAAATTTCTCTTAGGTATTATAGTTCTCCCAAAAGAAATTGAAGAGCAATGTTTGGAAGCCAAAGAAATTTTAAAAGGCGTTTTTACAGACGTGGCCTTTCTCTATGGATATTTATTGAAAAAGTTTAGCACCCAAAAGATTGGCATGGAAAACAAAATGGCCGCCGTTTGATTGTTTTGGAATACAAACATGACCACCCTGACGACAGGGGAAAACGTTTTAATATGAGATATGTGGAAATGGCGAATTTATAACGACCGCTTCTTCTGAACTTACTCAAATTACCTGGACAACCATACAGCTCTATCCTCATAGATATACGACTGTTCCAAGCTATAGGCAATACACGAACAAACATTGTAGTGACTGGTGGACTGAGGGCATTATACACAACAGTATCACTGTCATCGTTTCCAGTAAAAACCTGTAATAAGCAATGAAACAGTGAAACCATACACCCTAACCCTAATAACAAATCAGCGTCCAACAAGTCTCTCACTTCAATGCTTGGTTAAATATGTTTGACACCAGTCCTGAAAAACTGCTCGCAATTTAGTCATTGTTTGCCAGTTATGTTGCCATAGAAAACAGGTTATGACTTCACACAGGGTCTAATCAAAACATATTGGACGATCTAAGTAGCCTAACTTGTTGTAAATGAGAACTGATTTAAAAACATCTGGTTGCCTTTAAAGTATTTTACATAAACGTGTATGAAGATACCTTAGCTGACTTGTCTCCATGTTCTTTGTAAAACTGGAAGTTCATTCCATCATCACTGTACTGTAACTTGTAACTGGTCACCCACTCATTGGACCCAGTCCTCCCCTGAGTCGCTACACGTGTTACTGTGGTGTAACCTCCAAGGTCCACCTGTAACCACTGGTGGTGATCGTTTTTAAGGGCACTCCACCCAACCCCTCCAGGTAGGTTTTGATCTTCTTTGAGGTGTAGCCTGGCCTTGCTTGGAGAGCTATTGTCATCAGACTTTGAAGATGCACTGACCTGGGCATCTGATATTTGTTTATTTTCCATACCAAGTGCTGCTATACAACCTGTATGGTGCGATAGTACCGTTTATAATAGAACCTCATCTTTTGGGCCGGTATGTTTGAAGGAAATCTGATATAGCCCAAAGGAATTGAAAGTCATAGCTCAAGGAAAACTCTCCGTAAGTGCGTTACGTAAAACACTTTTTAATAATGAATGTGACCACGTGAAACTAAAACACATCAAGTTGTATTTTGAACGGTCATACCAAAAATCGATACGTTGTTTCTTTATTCTGTCTGGAAGTGAAAAACTTAATGAAAAATGCATTAAAAGTTCAATTTGTGATCCAATCATTTATCCGTTTATCCATTTGGACATAAACAATCATAGAGGAACTATTAGCTGCGGTCACACGAGACAACTTAACCATAATAGTAGGGAGCTTAAGCTACGACGACGGCGTGGGCAGCCAGAGCAGCGAAAAAGGAATGGGTTTAATATAAGCAAAACAGCAACTTTGCACATGCATCACGCTTTTTTGTACATTTCTTTGCCGTCGGCACAGCTACGAGGTGGAACTGCCTAATTTCATGTCCCGGTTTTTGTGGAGGACGTTAAGGCAAGACGACGATTTTTTTCTTTCTCTGAACTTGTATACAGCTGTTTTAGAATTTAACCCCAGAAAATTTGCCAACATTTGATAACTTGAACGTGATGGAATGTTAGCGCGGTGAGGTTTGAAACAGTTAGTGCGAAATCACTTTATATTAGTGACGTTTTAGCAACTGTCATCCTGGTGGTTACTCCTATGGCAAATGTAAGGCTAACTTGGCGTGAAAATTTGACTAAAGTAAGTTTAATCCTAGGTTAAAATTACAAAGGATTATTGCTTTTCCGCGGGTAAACCAGCAAATAAGCACTCCATAGGGTGCTAACCACGGTTATTTTCAACATGCCAATTCAAGTTCATCATTACAGCTCACACCACATTGTAGCTTTCATACAACTCTCGGAAAATTATTTGTAAATGAAGCACACCTGGGCAGCCGTAGATCTCTACTCTCATTGATATGTGTATATGCCACTCTATTGGTATAAAGCGAATGTAGCGTGCTCTGATCGGCTGGCTTAATCTGTTTGTAAAAACGCTGTTACTGTCTTTATTGCCTTCAAACACCTAAAAGGGGAAAACAAGCCTACTAGTTCTCACTTTCTCATTTCAAGTAAATCCCGGCTAATCATGACAAACTGAATGACCAAAGGTCACTCCAACTGTTTTCGGCGACGAGTTGGAACTAGACACCACCGCTATTATTTCGTAAGATCATCAAGATCGAGTGCCTTGCGTTACGGGCGGCCATCTTGGTTGCAAATGTTTCCAGTTTAGCCTGGAGATGAGTGTCAAATCTTCCTGGGGGTCGGAGGACGGTTTGGGAGGAGTCTGCCCTTACCCTATCACTACAAACCTCAACCCTGCCTCCCCCTCGGTAAATATGAAACCAAGATGGCCGATCTTACGAAAAATAGGGTACTGCGAACAGCCTAAGTTAGAATTAACAGTAAACCAATCGACCTCCCTCTAGCTCTGATGGATAATATCATATTTCCTACCGCTTTTCGGCTTTCGAGATTACTTATTCCAAACCTAGAGAAAAATATCACGTTAAAGGGACAGTGTCCCGATTATGCGCACGCGCGAGCGTCATCTGTTTTTTCTCCAAAAGACAATAGAACTGTCATATTGACTCGACAAGATATCCTTCCGGACCGCACCGCCGACAGGGATTTGTTGTTTATATTCTCAAGTAATATTTTAGACTTTCAAAGAAGTGTTTCGTCTTATATAAAAATTTGGCCCGCGGTTCGAAGACTTATCGCGATTTTATCGCTAGCTGGGCCGCCTCGCGACCCGAAAATCTCGTTTCGCTCGCTTTAAAATTTGAAACTCGTGTCAGAGGTCAGTTGTTCCAAGTCTAGTAATATCTGCCTGATTTGCCCGCGTTCTAGCCTCAAACGTTTGAAAGACATAAATAAAAATCCAATCTCAACGCTATGAATCATCAGAAAGGTTAGTCAAAAATTATATTATGATTTCATGGCACTAGTTTTTCTAAACATGTAGCGCCTGTTTGTTTGATTTTGTCGGCCGTTAGGGAGATTCATTTAAAAAAGTTTACTTTAACGCGTCGTTGCAAAACATTCTGCTTTACGAAGCTCCTCTCCACAAGATCTCCTCAGTCACATAAATGTCTCAGTGGTTTCTTTCTTACAGTCTTTATTGTTGCCGTTTCATTTCTGCGTATTCCTTTCACAATTATCCGAGCTTGTATGGAAGCTAGCAAAAGAAATAAGCCTTCAATCGGCATCAAAGTGCTTCCAATCTTTTGGTCCTCCGGCCAACGGCAATAAAAGGAACGCCAAAAAATCCAGATATTGCCCAAATCGAAACTTAACAGGAACATTATATCATTGATCTGTAATCCTGAGAAGTTTTAGTGTCGTATTGAACCCGGTCAAGCGCGATGCAAACGGATTTTTCAAGGCTCTCTTACTCTCCTCGCATCTTTTGATTTCGCGACATCCTGTCCAAAAATCAAAGTTTGGTGCATGCGCAGTAACGGGATACTGTTCCTTTAAATGCATTCCAGGCATTTTAACGTATATTATATGTAAGGAACCAACGAATATTAAACCCCTTCTTCTGGAGTCAATGTTGTTTACCTCTTTAGATTTACATACTCCTGTGGACTATGTAATGTTTTCTCAGTGGTTTTGTCAAGGATTGCAATTAAGAGTTCACAACAAAACCCACAAATCGCCACAAATCTAACGAACACGACAGAGCTTTTTGTACTTACCATTGCTGAGCTGTTTTCCCTCAGCTTATAATACATGAAGATATTTCCTGTACTACTATATAGCAATCTGTACTTTGTCACCCATTCGTTTCGTCCATTCCCTCCTTGGGTCGCTACACGTGTTACAGTTGTGTAACCACCAAGTTCTATCTGAAGCCACTGATTAAAGTCATCTTTAAGAGCCGACCACCCTCCCCCCGTGCTGGAATCATCTGTCAGATGCAGCCTTGCTTGCAAAGCGGTGTGTTCGATGTCAAGTGACGATGAAGCGGTTATCCTGGAATCATGGATCGCTCCATTTTCCATACCAAGCGGTGTCGTACAGCCTAGATTAGTTTTAAAGGCAGAAACATCAAAAAAGCTCAATCACGCTCGTTAATTAAGCCGGTTTAGTCTCTTTCTGTAGAAGAAAACCCAAATACGAAAGATCCAGTCGCTCTCTCAAACTCCCGGGCTACTCGACAAACTTTTATACGGGGAGGCTCCCCGACCAGTGTGTTTGTTATCACGTGCTAACGAGGCGGATATCCATGAATACGGGATCGTTCTATTTTCCATATCAAGATGTGTCGTACAACCTAGATTGGTTTGATTTGGTTGGATTAGCTATCCAGCGATTCTATTTTCTACAAATCCCAAGTAACGTAGACCAATCAACCCTTTAAAACTGCAGACTGAGTTCTATTTTATGACTTTCTAATTGTCAAGGAATTGGGATGTTGCAGGTTTTCTTTAAGCCAAGTAAGCAGGGTTATAGCTAGGTATTTTATAACGTGGGGGGATTATCGCGCCTGCCCAAGGTGCAAGCCTTGCAGGGGGGTCTCTATCCTGCCCCATGAAAATAGAAAACAAATGCAAGTCACTACAATCAAAATAATTGAGTCTAAAGAGAACAAATCCACCCAGAGACTTGATTTGTCTGGCTCAACAGTTCCGAGGGGGGACAGCTTCCCCCTGTTCCCCCCACCCGCTAGCTACCGCTCTTGTAAGCAGGCAGATAGTGGACCGGTCATAATACAAGATCAATGCCCAAGGAAAGTGACACACTACAACAGTACGCGCACAGCCATGCTTCCTGGTGGCAGCCACAGACAGCTGTTTCGTTCCGTCAGAACGCATCAATATAGCGTACATGTAAGGACGGCCACATTCACAAGAACCCGGATATTTTTTAAAACACATTTTTTTACACGAATCGGCCTTCCTTCCACACGAAATTAGCAAATCCGCTAACCAGAAACATCTTTTTGAAACCCCTCCACACTGTATTTTCGTCTCGGATTCGACGGATGTGCAAATTCGTGTAGCCGATGGAAACCGGATTTTATCGAATTTCGATCGAATTACCTAAATATGTGGTTTCAGCCATCCTCTATTTCTGTGGACAGTGCCTGAAGCTTGAACGACTAAAAAGCCGTAGATCTTCAACCTGATGGAGATGCGGTAGCGTAACTAACTAGCTATCTAGCGGTTAGGTTTGAATGGAGCGTGTTGCAATCAGCACCGAATTCAAACTATTGTAAGCAGTCTTACTGTGCAAGTAGGCGAACAATGTAACTTTGAATACCTGAACAACCGTAGATCTCCATCCTCATGGATATGTGTCCACTCCACTCCATCGGTTTGATTCGAATGAAGCGCGTTGTAATGGGTGGATTCAAGATGTTGTAAACAATGGTGTTACGGTCTTTATTTGCGAGGAAAACCTGCAGTGATTCAGAGAAAACAATTTCGCGCACGTAGTTGTGTCTTGGGTAACACTTTAAAGTCCAAGCAGAATATGTTAAATGTAAGGAAATTCTGTTGGTTGTTCGAAAGGTCATACTATCTTCCCACTTTGGAACATAAATTTATCACTGTAAAGTAATATTTAACAATTATTCCTCGAGACCGAATGGGCTCTGAGTCAATAGCCCATTCGGCCTTCGACCTCATGGGCTATTGACTTAGAGGCCAAGAGGGCAAGAGAAATAATTGTTTTAGTAAAATCCAACCAGTTGGTCAAAAATATCGAGGCAAAACAACTTTAGCTGGTTAAACCTTGACTTTAATCCTTTCTTGCCGCCAAAGAGCCGGCGCTTTTCGCTGCTAGTGGGCTATAACATGTAGCCTAGTAGTAGCTCAACCAATCAGAACGCAGCATTGATAATAGACCACTAGTTGGATTTTACTATATAGATTTAGCCAAGGCCAAAAGCGAAGCTCTCGTGGGAACTTTTAAGAGAAAGTCTTTCTGAAGTAAAGTCACAGTGACATACAGTCATGTGACACTAGTCAGCGGATACCTTATTTTAATAGCTGTCGATTGATAACAACATGGATGCCCAGTATCAAGTTAAACACAATTCGTATATACCTTGGATTTTAAGCTAGAAACTAAGACATTCCATATCCGCTAACATGATGTGGCGGACGTACGAACCTATGGACTGACGTACGGACAAACAATTTTGTCAGAACCGAAATTTCTTGGATGCATAGCTGACCAAATTTTCGTACCCATGGTGCGCCAAAGCGCGCGACAGCTCCGCTATAAGTGGGATAAGATACAGTCTAGCCAGTTGTAAGGTGCGACTCTCTATGAGGAGACCTAAGTAATGCTTAATAGAGTTTCTACTTACAGCGATTTTCTGACGATTTTGGCCGCAGAGAGTGACTGCGTAATAGGAGGCGGTTAAATAGAGGTTCGACCGTATTCACGCGCGCAATCAGTGATGTTTCCAAAAGGATGAATAATCTTCTTAAGGTACTTAAGTCTATTCAAGTAAAAAGTGGGCACCGTCCCGAAGATGCACTGATGTTCTTCTCAAGGAGAACGTGAATTCCCATTTTCGCCAGGATTAACCAATACTTCTTCAAACTGCTTTTAAAAGGGGTAACAGCTATAAGAGCGACATCTGACGTTTTTGAGCGACGCACGTCAACCGGAAGTGGACTTTTTGCATTATAGTGGGCGGTCGTTTTGCCCAATTTTTTGGGTAAATCGTCTCTGTAAGCATAAAAACACTTAGCAATGCAAACTTGCTGGCGTCAAGGCATACTAAAAGGAAAAAGGCCTCTCTTACCGTGGACGTGCGTCGCTCGAAAACGTCGTTGCCTCAACTCTCCAATAGGGACCCTACGAAACTACGACGGCAACGGCAAGGAGAACATCAAAAAAGCAATAGTTTTAATGAGCAAAACTCTGCAAGTGCATCACGCTTTTTTGTACATTTCTTTGCTGTCCTTGCATAACTACGACGTGAAATGACCAAATTTTAAGTTTACTTGAGAACGGGAGCGGCAAGGTGATAAATTCTACCATCTGTCTGAACTCGGACGCGGTCCCCCCTCTTCAGCTTCAACCAAAATTCCCTTTTTTTAGGCAACAGTGCGAATTGGGATAATCACGAAAAAGTTTAAAAGGATGCGAAGTCTCTTTTTCAGCGACGTTTTCATGGACGTCGCCACTGTCGGATCGTAAGGTCCCTAATGTCTTTGCTCAAACGTCTTATTGCATACCTTTGCTGAAGTCTGATGGGGCTCTTTATAGAACTGGAAGATCACTCCATCATCACTGTACTGCAATCTGTATTTAGTTACCCATTGATCGTGGTTAGTTCTCCCCTGTGTTGCAACACGAGTTAATGTAGTGTAACCACCAAGGTTTATCTGAAGCCATTGGTTGAGATCATTTGAACTAGATGACCAGGCTCCTTGTTGGTTGATCTGATGATTGAATGGCATGTGCAACCTGGCCCGTGATGGACCATGATTGTTATCCCACTGAGAAGAAGCACTTATTTGGGCGTCAGTTATTGCTCCACTTTCCATGCCGAGGGGAGCTACGCAACCTATATTTAATAATACATAAAATGAAAAAGTTTCTGAACATTACATCTGCAGATAATGCTTCAACAGTTGTTAGAGCCACTCAGGCAGATTTACTAAAATATCCCACTTTACGTGATGAAAAAGATGATTCCAAAGTGTGTGTTTTTTCGTTGTAATTGAGTGTCGTAATTTTGCAAACATGAAACACATTAACTGACCCGAACTACTATCTGTGAAGTTTAAAATAATAAATTTTCAATTAATATTTCGTAAGAGCACCTGGACAACCGTACACCTCCGTTCTTAAAGATATGTGGTTGTGCCAAGCAAGAGGCAACAGCCGAATGAACTGAGCTGTGATTGGTGGAATAAGAGTGTGGTATACAACAGTGTCACTGTCTTGATTTCCTTCAAAGACCTACAAAGCAAACAATGGTTTTAAGAACGAGATTGTTTTTAAAACTATTTCAGATTGCACAAGTAGGGAGCCTTTCGCTAGCCTGACTAAGAAATTATATTAGGTTTAAGTTACAGCTAGCTTTTTTAAAACTTGACAATTGCCGATCGATAATTGAAAGTCTTCGCATGTTTTAGAAGATAGATGCCATGTTGAAGACAGCAGCTTCCAAAACGGTTCTATGGAGTCGAAATGCCTTATTGTACCTGAAACGGCATTTTAGAAAGTGACAAGGAAAGTGTGTGTTAAGTTCATAGCCACCCAAATCTTAGTATTGCCTCGTCCATTTTTAGAAAAAGTTGTCCAGGGAAAGAGGGTCCCCCTCTGAATGAGTCAACTTTAGCAAGCGCCAAAGCGCTCGCTTGTGCTCTTATTGTCTGTCCTTGACCGAGTTGGCCCGGATGGACAAGAGTTTAAATGGAGAAAAGTTAACTCGGCTAGGACGGTCACTCTACCAGGTTGACCCAGCAAGGCAGCTCGTATTTCTAGCCTAACCAACTTTTTGTTTCTCAGGTAGACGGTTCGCCAAGTTTGGTAAAAAAATGTAGGAAACCTTGGCTCACCCAGGGTAGTTCGGGTAGCCGCTGCCCCTGCCACTATACCCACTCGGGACATGTTTTCTCCTTAGAAATTGGGTCTAAGAGATACCTTTGCCGTCGATACTCCCACCATCTTGTAGGAATGAAAATGTACACCATCATCACTGTAACTTAAGTTGTACTTGGTCACCCACTCATTAAAGCCATTTCTTCCCTGAGTGGCCAGCCGTGTAATTTTGGTGGAGCTTTCAAAATCAATTTGAAGCCACTGATGATGATCATTTTCATGTGCTGACCAGGCTCCATATTTGCTTCCTACTGCTTTGGAATGCAGCCTGGCTTGTGCAGCAGAATGGGTTTTGTCCAGTTTTGAAGACGCGGTTATCTGGGCATCAGTGATTGTTCCGAGAGCTATTCCAAGTGCTGCTGTACAACCTAAATTAGTGAGAGCAGGAAAAACAAGCTTTCTAACCACATTTACAATCAAGGCGGAACGTTAGCATCAGGGGCTGTAATCGAGGGAAGACAATAGGGAGATGGTTGGGCTCCAGATGTTGGGGATAACGGTGGTGTCAAGGCGATTGTTAAAGCGAATGGCGATTGGTTGCCCAATGTCCATTAATCCAAGACAGTCTTGGATTCTCGATTCAACGGTCTTGGATTCCGGATTCCAGGACATGGATTCGGCATTCCTAGACAGTGGAACTTAGATTCCAGTTCTAATCGTTAGCAGGATTCAGGATTCTAAAGCTTAAGATGGCTGAACACAGTTTTGGCAGTTTGTGAGTAAATGTCATTTGCGAAATCATGGCAAGAGAATGGTTGCAGCTTGCAAGCTGAAACTTGGAAAGTGAAAAATATACTGATGAAAGATTTTGATTGACAGGTAAAATGTGACGATTGAATGCAACCTTAAAATTTCACTTTTGCTCAGTTTACATAACATTCGCTCACTAGATTTTCGTTTAAACTTGCACACAGCTTACTACAAGTAATCATTACCATTTTAAACTTATTTGACCAAATTTTAACAGATATGTTTTTAGATCAACAATAATACAATTGTACTGTAATTATAAAATGTGTCACAAAATTCGTCTGTTCAACTTCCATTTTAAAGTTCTCATTCTCTAAAATACAATCAAAGTGAAAATTGGGCCAGATATCCTCTGTGTACCATTGCTTTTTTTGCCGCCATGATTGTTTGTCTAATTTAAAACAGGCGCCGTCGCGCGAGTTACCGCCGCAAAACTATGTTCAGTCACCTTAAGATATCGGATTCCACAAGCGAAATTTCCAGGATTCCGAAATTCGGATTACTTTACATGAGGCGAGATTGGGATGATGATCGCAATGTTTCAGGTAATCGCTTGACGAAAGTGGTAGTGGCAACAGCAAAGCCAAAGGGGAAATACATTACATTATTTATATGAAATCTTTCCTCTGTACCTGGGCAGCCATAGATCTCTATTCTCATCGATATGCGACTATGCCACCCCACTGGAATCAGCCGAATGAAGCGAGTCGTGACTGGTGGACTCAGTGGGTTGTAAACAACTGTGCAGTTATCCCGATTCCCTGTAAAAACCTAAATATAGGAAAAATTCCAAAAAGCTATAAATCAACAAATCTGGAAGTTACAATATTGATTTGTGAGCTAGTTGCGCTTTCATAGGATTTTCACAAATTTCTCCGAGGACTAGAAGAGTTCTATCAAAAACTTGACAGCCATACCTTCGCTGAATTAACCCCCAACACTATGAAAGAATGAAAGATGTCTCCGTCATCACTGTACTGTAACCTGTACTTGGTCACCCACTGATCATACCCATCTCTTCCTTGAGTTGCCACACGTGTAATTCTGGTGAAAGTGCCAAGATCCACTTGAAGCCATTGGTTGAGATCATTCTTGAGAGCCACCCAGCCACCTCTTTGGTTCCCAATTGACTTGGAATGCAATCGGGCTTCTCGTGCAGAATTGGTGTCATCCATTTGTGACGAGGCTGTTACCTGGGCATCAGAAATGGCTTGATTTTCCATTCCAAGTGATGTTACACAACCTGAATAAATGCATGAATGAACGAACGAATGAACGAATTTCCTGAATTCATTTTCAAACACTTTTATAGAAACAAATAGAAGCGCCGTCAAATTAGAGCACCATCTGGTACAAATTAGGTGAAGATCATTAAAGCGCCAGAATGAAGGAGAAGAGAACTTGTCAAAGTAACCAGATTCCACAGATATTGCACCAAAGTTTGCCTTTAGTTAATTGGTGTCTTAATACTGTGATAAGTCGGTAACAGGGACAGAATATACACGGGCTCTTTGTATAAATAATTAGTTATGACTTATTGTTTTTCGACACATTTCGGAATACCTGGACAGCCATAAATTTCAATCCTCAATGATATCTGACTGTGCCACTCCATCGGCAAAATTCGAATGAAGCGTGCTGTGATTGGTGGTTTTAAAATGTTGTACACAACCGTGTCGCTGTCTTTGTTTCCAACAAAAATCTAAAAAAGTATAATCAAAGTAATAAGAAACTGTGAAAGGTTTGAAACCAGGAGTAATTTCATAAGTAGGTTAAGTATGATCGTTCGGGTGAACGTAGTCCTGTTATTGACAGTTACCTGTAAATATCATTGATGGCATTCACGATGAACCCTCCCGAACTGCCACAAGTGGGGAACCAACCAGTCGTCCTTGTCCAGCAAAACAACCCGTATTTTTGCGTTGGTCAAGAACACGAGAAAGGTCAAAGAAAAGTGCTGGAGCGCTTTGAGCTTGTGAGGCTTGTGTGCTTCGTGCGAAAATCTCACGTGGGTGGCTTAAAAATCGATTTCAAAGGAGAAAAACCGACTTTTTTGCAGTCTTCGTTCTGAATTAGGTATGTGAAAGGGGTATCATTTGTCAATAGAAGCTGTACGAATGGGGTACCTTTTTCCATAAAAAAAATAGTGAATAAAAGGGTAAGGGGTTGGACCTCGGGGCGGCGCCTCCTTGTAAAAACGTTTGTTGAGTTCCTACGGGAAAAAAAGGCATACCATGACGTACTTTTAGTGTTCGGGTTTATTTGATAGAAACGCTGGAGTTGTCATTTGTGTTCGAGATTTAAAATTTACGCACCCGAGCAAAGACTTACCATTGCGGAGGTGTTAGCTGCTTCTTCGTAAGACCGAAAGATGAATGCATCGTCACTGTACTGTAACATATACTTGGTCACCCATCCACTAAAGGAATTTCTTCCCTGAGTGGCCACCCGTGTTACTCTGGTATAAGTTCCAAGATCCACCTGAAGCCATTGGTTAAGATTATTTTTGAGAGCAGTCCAGCAACCGCTTTTGCCGCTACTTATCTTAGCATGCAATCTCGCTTGGTTTGGAGCATGATCGTCATCTGCTTGTGAAGAGGCGCTTATCTGGCCGTCTGAAATGGCATTATTTTCCATTCCAAGTGGGGCGAAGCAGGCTTGATCATAAATATAAAAAGGAATATCAATAGATGAAATGTAAAATAGGTTTGGATTGTAACGTGTAGACTTAGTTTTTCTTATTATTCCGTTCGTTAGAGAAGTGGCCTAGAAATATAAAAGAGTGCGTTCCTTGTGGCTTAAATAGCGAGCGGCTGCTTCAAGTACTTTTTAAAAATATAAGGGGAAAATTTAGTTTAATGAGCCTTGTAGTCGATATGTCCTGTTTTCTAAGCAAGTGAAGAATTAAAAAACACTCAGTCAATAGGTTCTGTTAAGTTGAAAAAAGTCTCAGAAATTACTTCAGAATACCTGCACAACCATAGAGCTCCATTCTCGTGGAAATCCGGTTATTCCACTTGGTTGGTAAGATCCGTATAAAGCGTGCTGTGATTGGTGGATTCAATTCTTTGGTCACAACGCTGTCACTGTCCTTGTTTCCACCAAAAACCTAAACAGTGATAACAAACATTTACAGTGTACTTACGTCGACAGAACTCGCAGGACACGGAATGTTTCCAGGCACATGGAGGAAAATGCATGATAACAGGAGTTCTTGAGAGGCGCTATTTCAATCGAGTAAAACGTAGGCATGCCAATCCAAATGAAAAGAAGACATTGTTTAATTTAATCTACCGCAAGCTTGATAGTTAAATAGAAGGAGTATAAGAGCGCAATTTCTTTTGAAAAAACCGTGAAAAAACAGCCTTTACTCATGAGAAAGCCGTACCTTTGAGAGTTTGGTTCCTGGCACACTGTAAGTTTGGAATGTCACGCCATCATCACTATATTTTAATTTGTAGTTAAGTAACCATTCATTGTGGGCGTGTCTTCCCTGAGTCGCGACATGTGTCACTGTAGCATAGCTACGAAAATCCACCTGCAGCCACTGGTTGGGATCACTTGTGAGAGATGACCAGCCTCCATCTTTGCTTTCGTCTGTTTTGAAATGCAATCTGGATTTCGTTGCAGAATGTCGGTCATCCAGCTGAGAAGATGCTTTTATTTGGGAATCGGCAATTGCTTCGCTTTCCATGCCAAGAGGCGCTTCACAGGCTAAGCGTGAAACAGATCAGTAAAAGGAACCTATGTTAGATACTGCATTAATTTTATAACGGATAGTCTATGATGAAACAGTAAAAGCCAACTCTCAGACTTTTGGATAAATTCAGAAAAGTCTTGTAAAACAGAGAAATAATTAAAAGCTTAGTGCACAGTTGGGAAACCTCCTGATCTGACAAGAATAGAACTCTTCACGAGATAGAGACGCTCCTGTCGAATTTCCAAAATAAGTCTCGCTCTGGTACATCAGAGGTCAAAGTAGTCTGCTACACAGCCGTTTTTAGTGTCGTTACGACACTAAAAACGGCTGTGTAGCAGACTAAGGTCAAAGCCGAAACGTCTAAGAAAGACGGGATGCTCTGCTGAACTAATAAATAGATTTAGCCAAGGCTAAAGGCAAAGCTCTCGTTGATAAATTTAAAGTTTGCTTCAAACAATAAACTTGTAACTATTCAAAGAAATCCACTTGGACTTGAGCATGTGATCAGTTGAAAAATACTAACTTGAAAGCCGATAACTTCAAAACAAACTTTTACCCCGATGGGCCAACACCTGAGCCCGCGAGATGGTCATGTGATAAGGGTCAGCGGATACCCCGTTTCGACAGTCGTCAACTGACCACAACATGAATGTCGAAAATCAGGTTGAGGGCTCCCACATTGGTAGAAAGTGTGATATTGGTCACCCTGTAGTTCAGATGGACGAGTGGACGGACGGACGTAAGGTCACGTGACTACCAAAATTTCTCCGACGGAGAAATTTTCTTAGCTATGGGGCCCCGCAAAAAACTTCGCAAGGTCCTCTGCAATATCGGTTTGTTATGGTATATGACTTGGGATTCCATTGTGGTGTTAAGGTCGCGAGTTGAAATATCCTGAAATAGGGGAATAAAAAAATACCTGGACAGCCATAGAGTTCCATTCTCATTGATATGTGTCCGTACCAAGCCTGCGGAAGTATCCTGATGTAACGTGCCCTGATTGGCTGGCTCAATGTTTGGTAAACAATAGTATTTCTGTCATCATTTCCATCAAACAACTATCCAAACATAGTAAACAATAATTTTACAGACCGATATATTTATAATTATCATTGACTCGAAACTTTTGGACTGTAAATGAATTTTTTTGAAGCTAGCAGATTTATAATTATCCTGAATGGCAGCCGTCTCCTCGAGTCCCAAACTCCCGAGAGCTTCTTGGGAGTTTGCGACTAGTTGAGACGGCTGAAATTCAGGCTAATCAATAAATATAATAAAAATAGAAAGAGATGTTTTGTCCTTTATGTTTCGATGGTATTTAAAAGAAAGTACCAAGTAACGTAGAGAGGAAATCGCCTCATGTAAGGTACCGTAAAATTCCAAAAATAAGCCCAGGGGCTTATATTTTTCAAAGGCCCGTTTTGAGGGGCTTATGTTCAGGGGGGCTCATCTATGGAGGGAAATTTGCGTTTCAAAATCGATTGGGCTAGCCTTATAGTTTGAAGAAAATTTACCGTTTTTGCTTTGTTTTACTTTGTATTTGAGGGTAATTTCCAAGTACTAGCCCCAGGGGGACTTATATTTGGAGGGGCGATTTAACGCAGGGTTTTTTGCGTTACGAGTTTGGTGGGGCTTATATTTGGAGGGGCTTATACATGGAGGGGCTTATTTTTTTTGGATTCTGGATTTCACACTGTGGACTCCTCATTTCAGCTACTGGTTTCCTGATTGTGTGTTTTCACATGACGTCATGGCGGCCATATCTGTGTCCCAAAACAATGAAACGGCGGCCATGTTTGTGTCCCAAACCAGTCCTGTGGGAGTTGAACTCTTTTCTCATGTAAAAGCTTTCTTTTGTTCCAGTAAATTTGCACAGATGCTGGCCACATGAGTGAAAACACAGAATTCCTTATTCCTTGAGCTGCATTCCCAGGATTCCTGATTCTACATGTAAAAACTTGCCGGATTCGGGAATCCGGGTGACCTAACATGGGTCGAGAAGAATACTACCTGGGCGTACCTTTGCTGAATCTTGTCCTAGTGCTTTGTAAAAATGGAAGTTCACTCCGTCTTCACTGTACTGTAACCTGTACTTGATAACCCATTGGCTCATATCACTTCTGCGTTGAGTCGCTATGCGAGTCACTGTGGTATATGTCCCAATATCAACCTGAAGCCACTGATAAATGTCATTGTTTAAAGAGCTCCAGGCTCCCTTCTTGTTTCCTTCTTGTTTCCTATTCAATCGAGCTCTGTGTGGACCATTATTGTCATGCCACTGAGAAGAGGCACTTATCTGGGCATCAGAGATTGCTCCATTTTCCATACCAAGTGGAGCTATACAACCTGTAATACAGTCAATAACGATAAGTAGAAATTAAAATGTTGGAGCATTATGGTAGAGGACCCTTGACAGTAGGACAATATAGTTACAGGTCAAAGTAATAACAACGGATAATATAAATACAGAGCAAAAACGTGGCGGAGAGGAGCAGGTCATCTCTTAAAAACGCTCTGAAGGTTACTCTGACAGAAGGAGACATAGTTGGTGCATTAGGCTCTTTGGGAGCTCTGTAGTACATTATGAGTAAAGAATAGTTGTATTTCTTAACTTATCATTGCAGTTTGTAACGACATGTAGCGTTACGACATGTTTGTTGACTATCATGTTGTGCCTCCAAACGATCCCAAGAAACTTTGCGGTCGTATATCGTACCCAGTTTTATTTCACTCTTTTAGAACATGGCGAATGATCATGCATGTGGGACGAAACAGTTGAAAAAGCTTCCATATTGTCATCCGTGCATTTGTACTTTGACTAATCCCAAGTAATGACCGACCAAAATGTGTGTTGACTTCAGCATATATGGTTTAATTGATAGTAGCAGTTTAATAACTGTTAACCGGCTTATTACCTGGACAGCCGTAGATCTCCATTCTGAGACATATGTGACTGCGCCACTCTACTGGCAATAACCGCACCAGGCGTACCATGATTGGCGAATTCAACTTGTTATACACAATGGTGTTACTATCTTGGTTTCCATCAAAAATCTACAGCAAGAAAAGTTAATTAAGAAATATCGTGACCGCTATAAGCCCTTAGGAGTTCTTAAGAATTCATTTAAACGTGTCCGTGAGTTCTATGTCGAATTTAAACTTGGAAGTGTTGGATTTTTTCGAGAGGGAAAAACCGCGGAAAAACGTCTCCAACAAGGGAAGAACCAAAGGAGGAACTTGGATTTCGGATTCCAATCGTTAGCGGGATTCCTGACTCCTTGAGCTGGATTCTGGATTCCAAAGTCCAGGATTCCGGATTCCACAAGAACAAATTCAAGGAAATTCGATTTCAAAAGGAAAAATTTCCCAAGGACCAGAATCCGGATTACCTTCCATCCACCCCTCCACCCCTCCACCCCTCCCCTAAGCCAACATTTTGCCTTAAGTGAGAAGTAAGTGTTAATGTTAGCTTAGGGGAGGGGTAGGTGGTCAGTTCCCAGAAACTTCAATTGATCCTATTTACATACCGTTGATGAGCTTTCTCCTCTTCCTTTGTAAAAGTGATAAATGACTCCATCAACACTGTACTGCAACTTGTATTTGGTGACCCACTCATCTGAGCCATCCCTTCCTTGTGTTGCCAAACGTGTTACTGTGGTATAACTACTAAGATCCACCTGGAGCCATTGATTAAGATCGTCTTTTAAAGGCGACCAGCCTCCTTGCTTAATTCCGGTCACTTTCACATTTAACCTGGCGCGACTTGCCGCAAAACTATCGGTCTTTTGAGACGAAGCACTTATCTGGAAATCGGAGATTGCTCCACTCTCCATGCCAGCAGGTGCTATGCAACCTATAGGTTAGACAAAGTGGAACAAAACATTGCCAAAACATGTCTGTAACAAACACATGATTATTAGCCTGTTCCAGACTCCGCCATATTTGTGAAAGAGCATCGAGATTAACTGCGCGAAAACCGCGGGAAAGCTGGAAAAAGACAGGTAAGTGGGGCCTGTAAGCATTGCTTTCAATACCTCATTCCAGCTTCGGGTATACCCTTCGATTGGTCAATCAAGTCAATCCGCACGCGGCAGAGACAAAGAAAACACATAGCGTGCGTTGAAAACCCTCTTACAGGGCACATTTTGACATCTTAGGGACCGGTTATTATTTATCGCTGGGGTGGGGGGAGGATTTGGGATATACAAGGTGAAATTTAGCTGATACCCCCTTTGAAAGTTACTTCACTTAAGTGATCCCCCTTAATAACTTTTGATGACTTACGCGATCCCCTCCATGTCTTCATTTTCCAAGCAGATTTAAGTGATTTCCCGTCTGAATCCTTCCAAAGTTTTCAGCGATCCCCCCGTTTGGGTTCTCAGTTACGACTGATTCCCCCCTTTTGCCCTCCTAAAAATCAAGTGATCCCCTATAAAATCGTCCTCCTCATTATCAGTTTATTACCTGGACAACCGTAAACTTCAATCCTCATTGAAATCTGATTTCTCCACTGCGTTGGCAAAAGACGAATGAAGCGTGTCTTGATCGACGATGGAAGTTTGCTGTACACAACCGTTTCACTATCTGTGTTTCCACTGAACACCTGAAAAATACGATAAAGCTGTGTTTTAATAATAATCCCTGGAGATCGACTTTAAAATGATTATTATTCATTCAAAATATTTTCCCGATTCTGATTTGCTAAAAGCACACGCATAATTCACCACAACCAGCTACTGATGACCAAATTAGGAAGAATTTTGCGATTAATCAGCCGATGACGTCAAAAGTGGAGCTTGGTCAGCGTTAGATCCCAACGGTCGTAGCCCCTTTTTTCCTAACGAAATTTACAAAAGGAAGAACTGTTTTCTGCTTTTATATCACACTTAGATGATATTTTAAGCTGGAAATGTTCATGAAAGTGCAAGTCTCTTCAATTTGAAAGAAAAAAATTTTGTAATGATGGGCAGCAGGATTCGAACTCAAGATCAGAAGAACCAGTACAGCTCGCTAACCACTAGACCACTAAGGATTTGTTGGATGAGAGGGAAATAATTGAAGTACATTTTGCATCAACACCGATCCAAAAGGAGGTGTTAACACCCTCCTCGATCTCCATAATTCTTCATAAGATACTCAGTCTCAAGTCACCATTTTCACATAGGCCATAATGCACCTTGTTTACACCCAAAAATTTTGCATAACCATTGTCTTCGATTTCCCTTGGGACAACTGTAATAACCAAGAGAAAATGGAAACAATGGTTATGCAAAATTTTGTGGGGTAAACAAGATGCATTATGGTCTATGTGAAAATGGTGACTGTAAATTAGCGATCCAACCGAAAAATATTAAATTAATATATAGTCGCACCCCGCTTAACGTACACCCGCCTAATACGAACATCTGCGGTTTTTCGAGTCGACTTGGCGCAGAAGTGGTTTGTGCGGCCATAAACCTGGAAAGAGCAGGCAGTTTGTCTTCAAAAGTTGCAAGCTGTGGTTATAACCTTCTTATTATTTAATTTTCTCGAAGGATACATCATAGTAAAACGAACTTTAACTACATTAACTAATTTCCTTTAGTTGTACTGGAAATGTGCGTCGTAAGTCCGATTTTTTTCAAGATGCATTACCAAAATGTGTTCATATATATATATATATATATATATATATATATATATATATGGAAGTTCCTGGGTATATATGGTCCAGAGCTCCACCGTGGACACAACAACAAAATATCTTTGTATAATAATCTGCCCAAAGAAATTCAAGTTTGCCCACAATGTGTTTGAAGGCACTGAACTTTGTAGCACTCGAGCTGATATTTTAAAACCCACGCTTGATCGGACACTTCTAGCTTCGCAGATCACTAAAATATAAACAGAATCCTCAATGGAGAAGTTTTGGCCTTGATATGTGGGCAGAAAAAGAGTTCATCCTTATCTAGTAAATCTTCCCTAAGATCGGTTTCAAAGCAACCATAGTTTTTTAAACTTGATCGTTTCGCGCAGATTAATTTTGCTTAGTGTTGTCAAGTTGAACATGCATAACACCTGTCACAAACCTATGCGTGAGGAAGATTTCCCTCAAACAAAGTTAAAGCTACATTATTGAAAAAACTTCTTTCCAATTATGTATAAGACTTAATTACCGATTGAGGTCACTTTAAGGACCATAGACGCCACTTTAAGCAGGCAAAGAGATGCGACAAGCAAAGAACAATTCCGTCATGCATAAAATTCACCTTAAATGAACTAAAAAAAGCGTCAATAAGGTTGCAAACAATAAATTGTCATAAAAAAAACATAAGGCTTAAGGCTCTTATACCTGCTGACAAAGAAGTAGTGAATTTTCTGTGCGGAAACAACCTACCTAAAGATCTTAAAACCAAAAGATCAGTTGCAGCTAAGCCATGATTCCGACTACTTAGCTAGATTAGCTACTTTTTTTGAGTAAGAACTGGTCCATGCGAGGGTCTTCATTTAAGCAAATTAAACTCAGCAAACTGAATCATAAGAAAACACAGAAAACTGCACATAAGGATTTGTTTTGCTTGCTTCAGTCAAATCCAGCTCCAGTCGATTGTTTAGGAGTCACTGCCGGCAGTTGTCGTTCTCCGCTACTTCACAGCGAGTGAAAGGAAAATTTGCGTACAGAAAGATAACAAAACTATGTAATTAAAACTGAAAAAACTAAAGGAAAAAAACTCTGACTATTATTACTTGAGCAACAGAAAAGCTTGCTGGCCTTCTAAAGTTCCGAGGAAGTTTTAAGCGCTCAAGTTGTTCACTCGCAAACGTTAGTATTACGGTTCTGCGACTGAAGACAAGGATAAAGCTGGTTCTGCAAAGGTAAATAAATAAATCTGGGCATGTAAAAAAACTAACCGTAACTACTAATGACAGAATACAAGCGGGTTTTAATTCAGTCCGGCGAAAGAAGGCGAAGAACTGGACACAAAATTTATTCACAAATCGAATGCACGATTATCAGGAAAATACAAACCTCTTTGGAAATGTTCAAAACGTTTTATTCCTCCTCAGACTGACGGATGGTCTGTTTTTACTCTAACATTGGTTGTTCTGAATCCAAAGTAATTTTCAAGTGACGAAAAAACAACAAAAACAAAAAAAAAGCCTTTACAACGAGCAAACGTTCGCACCTCGTGTAATTCATTCAGTCTCGGTCAGAACTCTCACAGAACGAGACAAACGAACGCAGGCGATAAGCGATGCGCAGAAGCTTGCGCAGAACGTTTTTCCGCCCTGAAAGACCAACATTGACGTCACGGACATCACGTAGTCTCCAGTCTATCACGCGGCCATTTTAGAAACGTTTTCGTGAAGTCTTCGGAAATGCTCGGATTTTGATCTTTTATCTTTCTATAAAGGCTTGGGAAGAAAAATATTTACTCAAATCTCACTTAGGATGGTTCTCTTTAGTGTTTGGTGAAGGTAAAGCGACAAAAGAAAATATGTCAATTTTTTGGTTCATTTGACCTTTAACCCATTCGCCCCCGGAGATTTTGCCGAAAAACGCGTTTTGAGGCTAGTCGAGCGGTTTTCTGGTCAGTGTTGTGCTATAAAGAGCTAAAACTTACCACAAAGCCGTGTAGAGGTCGTACACTTTGCGGTCTTCTGATCCAGATGCACAATTTTAGTTTGCGAAGCTCGTCATGCGCAGAAAGCAAAAATTTCGGGTTCTTTGGTTTAAAAGTGACACAGCAGTCTTGACTTTTACTTTTCGCTTTCTCTCCCCACCTCTTTTTTCGCTTTTCTCGCCTCATTTTTGTTTTCTCTTGCTGGGCATTTAGTAGGCTTCATTTTCGAGGGAAACGTTTTTAGGAAAGCTTTTAGGATCTTAGGATTAGATGAAAGGGAAGGTAGGTGGGTAGTGGAAGAAGATTTTCATGGAAATTTTCAGGTCAATCTTACATGGTTTTTTGACTTTTTCTCAGGTGTCCTTGACCGAATTGTGCTCATTCTGGTATGGTTTGAAAGATCTTTTCACTCTGCTTAAATTAGCGGAAAAAGTTGTCCTCGACCATCAAAACTGATGACATCACAAGCGGTAGAAAGGACGTGGATCCGCACGGGCGGTTACTGGCGGCTCAGGAGCGAATGGGTTAAGGACGGTAGCAGTCTATAGAGTCTGACTCAGGGTGGAGGTCTGAAGGGATGGGATGGACTACACCTTGAGGTTTGTTAACCCTTTAAACACTTATTGGAATTCTCATTTGTTGCCCCTATTCATTTCCCACAGAAGTAGTGGGGAGAAGTTTGATTAAATATCAAGCAAATTCATCTTATGAGATCATGTCCGTAATTCTCATGAACACTCTGTTTTACAAAGCATTGACATTACAAGGAGAAATTTGATACTGATCGCTGAGTACCTTTGGAGATGTACCTCCGACGTCTTTGTAAAACTGG